GGTGGGAGCACTTGGCCCGAGGGACTTTGGAGGTCCTCACCCACGGGAGGAGTCATAAAGGAGTCTCGACAACCATGGGCAGTCCTTGTGATCCGGATAAACTTGACTCGAGCACTCCTTTGGCTCTTATGGTTTTATTTATAAGAACTTATTTTACTTTATTTTATTTTTAATTGTGATACAATATGTAGAAGATAAAATTTATCATCTTAACTCCTTCCAAGTGTACAATTCAAAAGTATTCAATACATTCCTTTTGTTGGGCAACCATCACCACCATCCATCTCCAGAACTTTTTCATCTTCCAAAATTGAAACTCTGCCCACTGAACAAGAACCTCCTATTTTCCTCTCTCCCCAGCCCCTGACAACCACCATTCTGTTTTCTGTCTCTATGAATATGCCTGCTCTAGGCGTCTCATGTAAATGGAATCATGCAGGATTTGTCTTCTTGTGACTGGCTTATTTGCTTAGCATAATGTCCTTGAGGCTCATCTGTGTTATAGATGTGTCAGAGTTTCCTTCCTTTTTAAGACTCAATGTTTCTCCTTTGTATGCATAGCCCTGACAGTGCTAACCACAGAGCGTCCCAGAGTTGTTGGGTTCCTGGTCCTCAGTTTCTCCATCCATCTGGTGTCGGGGGTGAACTGGATCATGTGCACAGACTCTGCTCCCTCCCGTAGCCTTGGTTCTGTGAGTTAATTTATTTCTCTTATTGTTGAATCTCGGTTTTGAGGACTAGGAGTGTAGTTATTGGTGGCTTTCTTGGGAGCCCACCTGTTGCAGGTGTGACCTTGCAGGTGTAGGCTGTGGGTCCCAGGAAAAGAGGCTCTGTTTTGTCCAAGTGGCACTTCTTCATCCTGCAGGTGGCATATTCATCACTGAATCACAGACTGGTTAACTCCCTGCTTGATGCTTACATTGGAGCAAAGCCTCGCTGGAGGCAGGAATCAGCCTGACCATCTTGGGCTAGTCTGACGCGGGGCAGGCTGCCTGGGGTGGATCCTGAGCACTGTGGCCCCTCCCAGGTCGCTGACCATCCACAGCTGCAGGCAAGCTCCCCTCCGACTTTCAGTACCTGCCCGGCTCAGGCTCCCCAGCCTCTCACAGCTCCTCCTCAAATGTGCCTCTTCTTAACATTCATTTAAAATTAAAAGTTGTGTTTCCAATTTTTAAAGAAATTCACATTTGTTGTAGAAAAATGAGAAAAATTCTAAACAGACACAGAGAGGAACATGTCCAGTATTCCCGCTGCTGAGAGGGTGCACCGTTCTTCATGTGTGGTCCCCTCACACATGAGCTCCCTTGGGGAGGGAGGCGTGGAGGGGGCCCCAGTCTTCGGATGGCTCCCAGGGCTCATGGCACGGGCACCATCCCCGCAAAGGCTGCAGTTCCCCATTGAGCTGCAACTGTGTCTTTGTGTGGCTGTGTTGAGTGAGGGCTGATGGGAAAAGTGGACTCGGGATTGGACCCAACGTGACTTTCTGTTTGTTTCCTGCTGCCGGAAATGGCGCGAGGCTAGAAGCCCACCAGCGGCGTGGGGCTGTGAAATGGGCTCTCAGAATTCCCTTTGTAAAGCTGGCCTCTGTGATTTGTCCCATGCTCATCCTAGTGCCTGCTACCTGCTCTATTGACCCTCAGTCAGAATTGCGGTAGGAGGCTACAGCTCTGTTTTATTTTTTAATTTTTTTTAAAGATTTCATTTATTTATTTGAGAGAGAGAGAAAAAGAGAGAGAGAGAGCGTGAGAGGGGAGAGACTTAGGGGGAGAAGCAGACTCCCCACTGAGCAGGGAGCCTGATGTGGGACTAGATCCTGGGACTCTGGGATCATGACCTGAGCCGAAGGCAGTCGCTTAACCACGAGCCACCCAGGCGCCCCACAGCTCTGTTTTAACCCCCTGTTATCGTCCCGGAGAACTGAAACACTGCCAGAGGTTCTGGTCCCACCTATCAGTAAACTGTACAAACTTGGGCCAGTTAGTCCTGGAGCTTCTATTTCCTTACCTGGAGAGTGGGGATGAGTAAGGCACACCCCTTTGGGTGGCTGGGATGGGGACGGGGGCCACCATGGGTGCTGGTAAAGGTGAGCTTCCTTTTGTCTCTGAGTAGGCTTGGAAAGGAAGAGAGAGATGCCCTGGTGTGCCTGAGGGGAGAGGAAGGGAGGTGTCTGGCCCCAGCATGGGGAAGCCTGTCCCCGGGAAAGAGGTGGGAACATCCCAGCGGGTGCTGCTGAGGCTGCTTTGTGAGGGCTGATCCTACAAGCGGGCACTGGGCCTGGGGGCCCTCCCAGCCTTTCTTCCTTCCATAGATATTTTCCAAGGGCCTGGCCTGTTTCAGGCACTGTGCCAGGTGTTGGGGACAGAGTGTTGAATGAGACAGGAAGATACTTAACCTGTTGGGAGTCTGCAGTCTCTTGGGAGGGGAGACAGACGACAAACAAGTCAACAAACCACCAACGATCCCCCCCTACCATTTGTGGCCAATGCTGTGAGATTTGAGCAGAGTGGAGTGTAACCAGGGAGCCTACTTTGGATGGGGAAGTCCCGAAGGGCCCCTGAGGAGGTGACGGTCTAATGGAGCCCTAAAGAGAGAGGTGTGAGGAGAACATTCCAAGGCAGGGGGAGAGGTTCTTCACTCACAGGCTGAGCCTGGGGAAGGGTCCAAGCTGGGGAAGAATGTGTCCCCTTTTCAGACAGAGGGACACAATGGTTGAGGAGCAGGCCCCCTGCCTGGTGAGGCCCAGCTTGGCCACTTACTATTCCCCTTCGATCTCCTCACCTGTAAAAGGGGGTAACTGGTAATACAGCTCTGTGTCGGCTCTGCTGGGATGTTCTGTGAGCATGTGAGAGAAGTCTTGGCCAGCACATGGGAAGGAGGAGAGCACAGTGCCAGCCTGATCACGCGAGGGCTTGGAGGCTGCTGGGAGGAATTTGGATTCATTTGACAAAGAGGGATTTTGGTACCCCAGTACACCCGATCTCCGCTGCTGCTTCTTCCAAAGCCGGTGAGCACTTTCAGAAAGAGGTGAAGGACTGGCTTTGTGGTCCCCTCCCTTGTCAGAAGGTTGCCCATCCATGTGGGGCCAATGGACATGGCAGACCCAGGTCTCAGGCCTCAGGGATGGGCACTAACTCCCAACTGTCCTCGGCAGGGCCATGGTGGTCCCCCTCCTGCTCCCCTGGTGGGATCTGGCTTCGCAGCTGGCCCAGGATGACTGGGTGGGGAGGGGCGAGGAGCTGCGGGGATGTACCTCTCCGGCAGGGATCACACAAGGGGGCCCACCACTTGTCCTGTCTTGGGAGCTCAGAAAATCTCCCAAAGTATGTCATGCCGCCGGCCGAGTCTACCCACTGGGTCTGGGTGGTTCCTGCCCCCGTGCCTGGCCGGAGCAGGCAGTTGTAGCTCACGGGGGTCCCTCAAGGACAGAGGTGGTGCCAGCACTGCTGGGCGCAGCTCACTTCTCTCAAAACTCAGGTGGGCAGCAGGACCACAAGATTCCACAGCCAGACTCTCTCTGTCCACTATCCTCCCCCCCCAACACACGACAACCTTCTCTGTTTGCCCCCATCTTAGGAATGGCACCCTCATTCATTTGGGTGCTCAGGCCCAAACCTAGGCAACACGTGTGAATCCTTCCTTTCCATCACCTTCTTTGTGGTCCACGAGCAGTCTGTGCGGGCTGTAACCTTCCCTAAAGCCCGGAATCTGGCCACCCCTCACCATCTTCCCTCCAGCCATGTTAAGCCAAGCCGCTCTCCCCTCGGACTGCTTTACCCCACTAGCCTTCCCACCCTGTCCCCCATGCACTCTCTACTCCGACCTGCTGAGGCTTCCTTGCACTGAATCCTGCTCAGCCTGCAGGGCAGTCTGGCCCTGATGACCTTGACCCGTCTGCTTCTGCCCTCGCCTGCAGTCTGCAGTCTCTGGCTTCAGTCAGTCTGAACACCCTGCTGCTCCCCGAACAGGAAACTTCTGTTCCCATATCTGTGCCTTTGCACTGCTCTTCTCCCTGGCTGTGTGTTCTTCCCCGCACATTCATGTGGCTGTCACTCTGATTGGTTGCCCTCAGTTCTCTGCCAAGCATTGTGCTCCAGCCGTGTTTTCCATAGCACGTCTCACCGCCTGCCTTTGTATCAGGGACTCAGGGCTCCGGCGTGCCTCTCCACTAGAACTGCACTCCATGAGTTCGGGTCTTGCTGTCTTGTTCCTGCTGATTGTCAGGAACAAGCGCTGGGTGCTCATGGGATAGTCGTTGAATAAATGCACAATTGAGGATGACCCATGAAGAGAGAGTATCCTCGAACAGAGCCTGGCCGAGGGGTGAGCTCACTGCATTCCTGGATGGGTTCATATACCGCTAGCCAGCAGGCTGGGGGCTACACAGTTGCTCCTAAGCCCGGTTCCACACGTCGGACATATGCTAAGCGCTTTCCAACTGATTCCTTTAGAGTTTCTTAAACCTCAGTTCATGGTGCCCTGAGCATCTCAGTTAATTTTTCACGACTCTCTTGGGCCCTAAGAAATACCTAACAGTTTTGTTCATTAAATGGTTAGGTCCAAGCAACTCAATAAGTATTAATGTCTCGACCGCTTAGTAGCCGCTTGAAAAATGGCCGGGCTCCCTTTGTCTTCAAAGGTTGAAAACGTCCCTGTGGTGCCCCCGTCAGTTCTCAGGGGTGCTTCGGCACCTGGTTTGGGGAGAGTGGGATTTCTTCACTGGATCCTCATAATGATCCTGTGAGGTAAGTATCATTCCATTTTGCAGAAGGAGAAGCCAAGACATTGGCTTGAGGCTGCGCAGCTGGTTGGTGAGGGAAGCAGGACCGGTCCCCAATGCTCTGATGATTCCTTACTCATCTTTGGGGTCCTGAGCACTTGTCATGTCACCTCTCCCTTTAGGATCCTGAACCAAACAATCCGTCGGCCCCTTGCCCCCGCCTCGTGTGCCGGGAGACAGAATGTGGGCAGTGATGGCAGCCTGTTGTTTTTCCTCCTTTCAGGGAGCCCACTGTGCTCTTGCTGTGTCCCAGACCCCATGGGGCTGTCGTTCCTTCCCACCTACGGCTGTCAGAGTAACCGCACGGCCAGCGTGGCCGCCCTGCGCATGAAGGCTCGCGAGCACTCGGAGGCCGTCCTGCAGTCGGCCAACCTCCTGCCCTCCGCCAGCAGCAGCCCCAGCCCTGTGGCCAAGCCGGCGCCTCCCGATGGCAGCCAGGACAAGAACCCTCCCTCCAAGGAACAGAGTGAGGGGGAGAAGAGTGTATGAGGGTCCCGAGTGTCCAGGCCCGAGGCGCCCTCCCCCGCCCCCTGCTTCTCCCAGCCTCAGCCCCTGTGGAAAACTCCAAAAAGCAAAGGGAAGCCTGCGGCCCAGGGCCTGCTCACGGACTCAGGAAGGGAAGTGAGACCTACAGCTCCCTTGGCATCTGGAGAGTGCCTCTCGAGTCCTACCGGCAGGGCTGTGTTGTCCTGGCTTCTTTGGTGACAAGTCCGGATGGAACTCGTGGGCACCAGAGCCCACTCTGTGGTGAGATCCCCCGGGGTTTCCATCTGGGCCCAGAAGTGTTGGAGGGAAGTAGAGTTGCTCACCCCCCTCGCCTTCCTGTCCCTCTCCTGGGCCGCCTTTGAAGGTCTTACCAACCCAAAGAACTGTGGTGTGGGTCACCCTTGAGAGACGCCCCGGGCTGAGCCTTGTGCTATGAAGCAGGACTGTGCCTGTTGCATGAAGAACCAGGAAACTGGTGTAATCCCAGCGAACTCTTACTGCTCTCCACCGAGATTAGCAGCAATTGCCCCCCCTTTGTCTCGTTGGAGGATATTGGTTGTAGGCTGGGTTAGTTTAGACGATGAGAAGGTGTCGGGTGAGAAGGGGTCAGCACAGCCGGCCAGGGAGGCTGGGCCAACAGACAGGCTGCCAGCTTTGCAAACTGGGGCCACCATTGTGATGCTGTGGGCACCAAGCCAGTGTGGGCTCCCGCAACAAAGCGCCCACCTGCAGGCCCGGCCTCTCTGGACCAGACCTCTAGGTTGGTGGGACGTTGACCAGTGGAAAGCAGTACTCTGATCTAGGCAACGCCGAGGGTCCTCGGAGAGGGAAAATCTCCCACAAACATCTCCGACGTATGTACACATCTGGATGAACTACCTTTCCTCAGGTCCCTGGCACATGGAGGGACCTCTCCAGTGGTGTTATTTATTGATTTATTTTTTTTACAGAAGGAAAAAAAAAGTAGGAAACAAGAGGAGAATGGTGTATATGGAGAAATGGAGCATGGGGAAGAGGGCTTCCTTGTGGTGCGAAGAGGAGTCATTCCAAAGGGCCAAATTTCGTAGAGATTTCAGTTTCCATCTACTGGGTGTGTTTTCTCTCATGTGGATAGTAAACTTGAAGAGATCCAAGGGAAAATGTGCAATAGCGTGAGCTCTGACACTCCCTGGCAGGGGGTTCTGGTACCTAAAAGGTTGCATTCTTGAACGGCTTACTGATGGCGTTTCCATGCAAACTGTTATTGCTTTTACGGCAATTATTTTCCTCTCAGTTATTATAATCAAAATGTTCTACCTTCGGATCACCCTGCTCCCCTTTCAGCCCCCCACTGATACTCCCGAGTGTAGTGTGCCTCGTCTCTGATGACCGCAAAGCATTTGATAAAATACACTGTCTCCTTAAAAAGAAAAAAAAAAAAATCAAGTCCTTCTTCTTGCTGTATTTTGCTTGTTGAGTACAAAGATGAAACGGTTTGCCAAAAAGCGGCAGAGTCGCTTCCGTTTCCCTGTAATTACGAATGTTGGGTTGAACGATGTAAGCTCAAGCCCTTATGTACACTAACTCTTCAATCTAATTGTTTGATTAAACTCGTATTTCCTCCAGAAAGGTACATAAATAAGTGAACTGTTGAGCAAATTAAGAATACTTAACAGCATTGCATCTGAAAAGTAGTTACGCTGATTAAATTTTGTGTCCTTGAGGACTTTCAGGAAATTACTTTTGATCGTCAATAACACAATTAAGTAAACTACACACACATTAGCATGAATAATTGATAAGAAATTATGTATTACCACGAAGCACTGATTTAATAATTCATGATGCGACACTCTAGTGACTGCGCAAAACTGGATAACATCGAAAAGTCTGCCTGATGTTACTGAAAGCAAGGAAAGAGATCAGCACCAGACCTCTGCAGAGATATCGAGTACTTAGTTTTGTTGTACAAAGGCGAAAAGTAACCATGCATGATGTAGTTTCTGTTTGTTTAAATACCCGAATAAATCTAGAAGAGTTAAAAAGAAAGACAGAAAGAGCCCAGGTTCTCTCTTTGTTGCTCCTGGCCCTCGGGCTGCAGGCCTGAGTGGAGAGTGCCCCTCTGCTTTGGCCGGCACGCAATTGAAGATCTTTCCGAAGCTTCCAGGCGGAGGGCTTTGAGGCCTTGGCTCAGGAACCTTTTAGCAGATGCCGGGACAAGACCTGGCCTCTGCGCGGGCCAGAGCCTCCCACCAAGTGCTGGTGCCTGGGGAGGGGGGGAGGGGGGCCAGTCCTTCTGTCCTGGGACAGATGGACAGATGAATGGACACGTCCTCGCTGTATCCCTTCCGGGCTGTCCGGGGTGAACTCTCCTTTCTGGCAGTGAGAACGGCCATCGATGGGGCCCCTGCAGCTCGTCCCGTCTGCAGAAGTTCGTAATGTGACTACAAGGCCGCTGGGCTTCAGTCTGGGAAGGAGGCACAGGCCCCAGGGTTTGATTAATTGATTGATTATTATTATTCACTTATTAGTTGAAGCCCTTTGAAGAGCTTAATGCACTTCAGGTTATGGGAAAGGAGTCGAAGTCACGACGGGGTCAGCAGCCCTCCTCGTTGGGAATGACGAACTGCTGGGGTGCGGATCGACGGTGCGGGGGGGCAGGGAGCTGGAGGTGGGTGGCCCTGGCATAGGATATGGGGCTCAGAGGCTCCCTTCTCCATCCCCCCATTGGTGCTTTATTTAGGAATACCCAGCATTTGGCCTCTCGATTGCGTACATCTCCCTTATTAATAAGTAATCCCCATTTATTAAACTCTGCCACCATCTCATGGCCTGGGAACTTTACAGAGGCTAATTTCTTTAATCCCAGTGACCAACCCGCAAGGTAAGTATCACTATCCCCATTTCGCAGACAGGAGAACTGAGGCACAGCAAGGTTGGACAAGTTCTCCAAAGTTACAGGGGTGGTGGCTTCCAATGAGAAGAGAGAGAGAGCTTGGCTTCATTCCCTGTCACACAGGGAGTGCTAAATCAATGAGTTAATGAGAGTAACAGGGCTCAGTCTTGAAGGCCCAAGAGGGCAGTGGAGGGGTAACTAGGGCCAGTTTGTCCTCGTGGGTTTGACAGGGGGAGAGTTGAGGTCACTCTGTTTTGCCTTTGCTTGCTATCTGTGGGCTTTATCCTAGGCTGGCCTGTGGAGGGGAGACCATGCGACTCTAGCATCTCTCTCGGGTCCATCCTGGCAGGGGTGGAGACCAGCCTGGCCCCATTTTTTCTGCCCCCATGCCAGCACACTTGGCCTTTGCATCTGTGCCAACCTGTCCAAGGGCAGGCCCAGCAGGGATTCCCAGTGTTGATGGTGCCCAGAACTTCCAGACCCCTCAAACGGGCTTTTCCAGCAAGAAGGGCATCAAGAAGGGGCCAACCATTCCACATCATGGAAACTCTCTCTTCTTAATTTTCTGGCCTCACCAGGAAAAGTGAAACTTTTACGACTTCAGAACTTGACTGGAGAGCTCCTACTTGTTCAAAATCCCAGCTGTCATCGGCTGTGTTCTGTGGGCAAGTCACTTAACCTCTTTGTTCTTTGGTTCTCCCTTATGGAAAATGGGGATGATAATGGAACCAGCCTCATAGCACTCTCTGAAGATGACGTGAGTTAATTGCTAAACGGTCCCTGGCACAGAGGAAGTGCAGTATAAATGTTAGCTCCTGTCCCACCAAGCCTTACACATCTCAAGGGCTTGAAGACCTTTTGCAGGTAGAAAGCTCATGGTCTCAAGAAGGAAGCAAGGTGGGATGGCTCTCAGCCTGAGGACATGCCTTCTCTTGGAGGTCTTGCCCTCCCACAGCCCACATAAATTCACTCAGGAGGTAGGTGTGGCAATCCCCAATCCCTCTGCAGGCTCATTCATGGCTGAGAGCCTGGCATCTTGCCGGCTGGGTCTTGGGTCCTGAGAACTTGGATGGGAACCCATGGTGCCTGAAGGCAGGTGTAGGCAGCAGGGGTGGGGTTGAGGGAAAGGGAATGCCTCTGTGAAGGCTCTTTCAGTGCAAGCAATAGGAACCACTGAAGCCAGTTTAAGTCAAAAAGTGATGTTATGAGAAGGATAGAAGGTATGCCATGCAGCTCAGGATGGCTGAGGTTCTAGTCTTGGGCTCTCGTGGGCCAGGCACCAAGGGCCAGGGGCCATCAGACCCTCCCTTCTCTCTTCTCCCTGTCTTCCCCCTTTGCTGCTCACAGAGCACCTCACTCAGGTTGGCCCCCAGGCAGGGGTTCACTGTAGTTTTGGAGCCTCTGCTAGGCCTCCAAGAGAAGGAACCTGCTTGAGCCGGCTTGGGCCAGGCATCCACGCGTGGTCCTATCAGGCATGGCTAATTGTGGTTGCTCAGCTGCGCCCTGGGAGGGGGGACAGCATTCTCAGACAGGAGGGGCAAAATCTGAAGTGTGCTTGCTCCTGGGAGACCACGCTGGAGGCACAGAAGGGCGCAGGTATGGCCGAAACAAGCCCAGCGGAGGCAGGTCAAACTCGAGGATGAGGCAGAGCCTATCAGAGACTTACAATATTTGTTTTAAAAATGATAACACAGCTCCATTTCTTGGCCCCACTCTTGGACACAGCCAGACTTTAGAGAACCCAACATGTGTTGGTTTTCTCTCCAGGACTTGGCCAAGCACCCTTGTTGTGATCTCATGTGCAACAGGAAACATTGCAGGGACAGGGTGGGGGTGTGTGTGGGAGGGCTGTCTGGGCCCCATACCCAAGAAGCTCGTGGATTCCAGGGCTGTGGAACATTCCAGGTGTTCCCTTGAGCTAACCGCAGCTACCTGCCCACATCTACCACCCCCCCCCACACAATGACAGCAAAACTCTGGACTCTGAATCTGGGCCCCCGGGGCCCCAGCACCACTCAGTGCTGTCTGAAGAGGATGGTGAGCTGAGAGCTGGCTGGCAGGCCTCAGGCACCTCCAGTCTTTGTGTTCAGGAGAAGTGGCTGCATCCTTCCCCCAGCATGAGCTGTTC